CCAACCCTAACCCTAACCGAATCCGCAACCCTCATCCTAACCCTAACCCTAACCCACACTCTAACCCTCACCCTAACCCTCAACCTAACCCCAACTCTAACCCCAAAGACAACCCTAACCCTAATCCTAACCCTCACCTGAAACCTCACCGTCACCCTCACCCGCATCCTAAGCCAAACCGTAACCTCCTGTCCAAGGCTAGGTGGAAACCAGGAACACCAGTAGACAGGTGAGCGCGTGAAGCTGCATTTGCACAAGCATCGTGGGCTAAACAATACCCTCTCACCACCACTCCATCGCCGGTCAGCCAAGCCAGAAAGGTTGGGGACCGCTGTCCTACAGATCACTGCATTGCCTACAAGGTAATGCTGAAGGCGGCATTTGAAAAAAGGGACCAAGTGCACCAAAGTGAAAATTCGGATTTTGTTTAGCCCTAAAATGCTGTTCAAAGGAGAAGAAGAGATTCTGCCTGGAGCATCCCTGTAAACCAGTGGTTCCCATAGTGGGCGGTACCACCCCCTGGGGGGGATGCCTTGGGGGGGCGCTAAGAGGCAAGGGGGCTGGCAGGGGGGGTGTTCGAGACCCCATTGAGTGTTGCACTGCTCCTGAGCCGGCGCCTCGAATGCGGCAGCTCCAATGCACCCTATTGTAATGGGCTCGAGGAGGAGGAGGAGGGGATGGAGTAAAGTGCACTAAATTTGAGTGTGCTGCACAGGTGCTGCAAGACCAGCGAACAGCCATGGAACTGGCTGTGGTGGGGCCTAGAGGGTGCGCACGAGAGGAGGAGGAGGGGAGAGGGGAGAGGGAAGAAGGAAACCTCCACCACGGCTTGCGCTCATTCCTCAGCCATCCTGGATTTCCAAAAACTCGCCAAGAAAGAAAAGAAGCTTCTCACACTCTCGGAAAGTCCTGCGTGCTCTACTTGGGGCTCTTCACTATCCCGTTTTCTTCCTTCCTTTTGGAAATCAGGGCTAGCTGAGGAACAAGCAGAAAACGTGGTGGAGGCTTCCCTCCTCCCCCTCCTCCTCTCGTTCTTCAGCCAGCCCAGATTTCAAAAAGGAAGAAAGAAAAGGGGACAGAAAAGAAGCCCCAAGGAGAGCACGCAGGGCTTTCCGAGAGTGAGAAGAGACATAGACAGGAAGAGAGAGAGAAGGGAGAGAAGGGAGAGGAGAGAGAGAGAGAGAGAGAGAGAGAGAGATGAAAACGGAGGGCGAGAGATTCGGCTCAATTCAGCTCTGTCTGCTCCCCTCTCTGTCTTTGCCCAGTTTTGCAAGGATTCAGCAGCGATCTAAGGCAGCAACCTCGTAGCACTGTGAGGTAACAGCCTGACTGTCACTCCTTTTGGAATGCAAGGTTTATTTTTGTATCTTTCCAGAGACAGAAAGAACCTGGCCAAATTTCCTTAGTTATTCCCTGGGTGTGGGAGTTGGGGTGGGTGGGGAGTGGGGGAGAAGGAGGAAGAGGCATAGAGAGAAAGAAAGTTAGAGGAGAGAGAGGAGAGGGAGAGAGAAAGAGATGAGGAAAGGATGGAGATAGAGATGGGAGAGGGAAGGAGGAGAGAGAGCAACCTGTTCCCCATAGAAAACATAAAACCACAAAACCTGGGGGGTCATGTGACTCAGTGGGAGTGACATTGAGTTGCCATGCCCACCCATGTCTTGGGGCTCCCGGTGTTTTGTTTTCTGTAGGAAACAGGTCCAAATGGCTCTTAGAGTGTTTAAGGTTGCAGACCCCTGTCCTAGGGGGAGGCAGAGGAAGGAGGGGCCCAACATCCAAGGATCCTGCTCAGCCAAGCCCGCCCCTCTTTGTAGTTGCCGTGCCTGACAGCCAGTTCACAGGGTGTCCCTCCTGCCAGGGATCAGCCTCCCAAGATGCACCCCCCCTTGGAGCACTCACGTCATAGAGGGTGGTGCTGTTCCCTCCTTCCTGGAGCAGGGCAGGGTTGAAGAAGCACACGGCAAGCAGTTTTGCTCTACTTTTGCGATGTGCCGCCTCTGCGTTCAATGCGTCAGCTCCTCAGGCTCACCCCATTGAGCCACTTACACCTCTCCGGTGCAATGGGGTGAGCCTGCGGTGCCAGCGCCTCAAATGCCCCCCTGCTGCCTCTTAGCGTCCCCAAGGGGGCTGGCAGAGGAGTACTAAAAGGTGGCAGGGGGGCGTTCAAGGCGCCGGCACTGCAGGCTCATCCCATTGACTGTTGCACCACTCTGGAGCCGGTGCCTCGAATGCGGTGGCAGTGGCTTTGCTTTACTTTCCCAAAGTATCGCTGGTGTCGTGTTTTGTCTGTCTGTCTATCCATCCATCCAAAGGGTCTACCTGCCTGCCTGCCTTCCTTTCTGTCTACCTACCTACCTACCAATATCTATCTACCTACCAACTTATCTACCTATCTCTCTGTCTCTATCCATCCATCTATGTTCGAAGCGCCGGCCTCGCAGGCACATTGGGAAAGTAGAGCAAAGCCAGTGTGGGAGGGAGGGAGGAAGAGAGAGAAAGGGAAAGAGAGAGAGGGAGAGAGACCAAGACCTGATGCATCAGATTGAAATGAGATCTAGTTTAGTCTCTGAGGCCCCTTTCCACATTGAAACCTCTTTGGCTTCTATTAAAGGTTTTGTGGACGAACCATGGTCAAGACTATCAGGAAGCTCACACATTTTGTTGAGGCTTTAAACAGAATCCATTGGACCAGACGTCCACCCTAAAAAATTACTTTTCCTCAATGTTTTAAAGTGCCAATTCCAAAGAAGGCAAAACCAAAATGTACTGGTAAATTACAAGCACACACACACACACACACACTCCCATCTAACCCTGCTGGAGCAGGTGATTGGACTAGAATAGATATCTAATTATTTTGCTCCTCCCTCCCTCCCTCCTTGTTTGTTTTTTACTTTCTGTCCCTTCCTTCCATCCCCCTTTCCTCATCTGTCCCTTTTTCTTTCTTTCCCTTATCTCTTTCTTTTCTCTCTCTCTCTTTCTCAGGCCCACCCCATTGACTTGGTGCACTGCTTCATTCGGACTTGCTTGGGCAAGTCCCTCCGGTGCAGTGGGTTCAATGGGGTGGACCTGTGGGGCTGGCACCTAAAACGTGGCAGTGGTGGCACGTTTGAAAAGTTGAGCAAAGCCAGAAGTCAGTAATTTTTGCTGCAAAGAATCACAAAAGCTTCTGGGTTGTGCACAAGAAGGGACACACATGTCAATGCAATTCAGCAACATAAAATAAAGAAATAAAAATAAAACAAATCAACAAGAATCAGCAAAGCATCTTTGATTAGGTTTTATTCACTACTAGAATCTAATCAGAGATGCTTTGCCGATTCTAGTCCAATGACCTGCTCCAGCAGGGTTAGAAGGGAGTGTGTGTGTATGTATGTGCATGGCTGTCAAAACTCCAAAAACAGGTCAAGTAGCTCTGGGGAGACCAGTCATAAATTAGAACACTTGCTAAACAACCGGCCATTAAGTGAGGACCACTTGTATTTGGTTTGCCAGACACCTGGCCACGCCCTCCCAGTCACACGACCATCAAACCACACCTACCCAGTCACGTGACCAGCAAGCCACACCCCAAAATTAGGCCACACCCACAGAAATTTAAATCCCACCCCTGGGTGGGGGGCACCAAGGATGAGTTTGTAGCACCAAGGGGGTGGTGAACTGAAAAAGTTTGGGAACCAATGCTGTAAACTATGCTTAGCCCACGAGCCCAGCTGCATCTTTGCAAGGTATAGGAAATGGCAACTACTTTTTCTCCTGTACAAAAGCAGCTCTACCCTGAGCAGCAAACGGAGTAATGAGCTACAACAATGGACTCCTCCTCGTCACAGAATTCCTGGAAGAGAACCCAGCACATCTGCGGTCTTCTCCTTTTGGCAAAACTAGACCTTGCCCTGCCTGCTGCTCTAAAAGAGAACGTGGACACCTTGAGGACAGGAAATCATTTTTATTTACAGTGAGGTTGAGGTGCCTCCAAGAACTGGGCTCCAGATTGGAAAAGAGGCTCCAGGGTGGAAATTTAAGTCTGAGCTGCAAAAGTCACTCAATCCTGCAGGGCAGACTCCAAGTCCAGGAGCCTTCAGATAGCAGGGCTGGCCTGGAAGAATCCTCCACTGGGGTGAGGGGGGAGCAAACAAGCCGCTGCTGCTGCTTTGGGCTCTCATGTGTCAGTGGCGGTGTCCTCCAGAAAGAAGGTGGCTTTCAGCAACGTTTCTAGGCAAAAGAAGAAAAAATGCTTTGGGTCAAACATCGGCCACGGCTCCTTGGTTTCACAGGCCGCAGCATCCTTCCTCCCGTTCCTCCCCAGAACCATGCTGGGGAGGGAGGGATACGCCCAAAGTGAGCCAAGGTGCTCCCGGGCCCCTAAGCCCTCCCCCTCCAAGGGAGGATGCCAGCCGCCCCAGAGCTTTCTGGCCCTCCCACAACGGCATCGCAGGAAAGGCCCCCGTCGGGCAGCTACCTTCCAGGCGGTCTCTCCGGTACCCGTGCTGCATTATCCGCTCCCAGGCCTGAGGGGCCGCCTGCAACCCCGCCAAGTCTCGGTAGCTCAGCGAGAGCAACAGCAGCTGCGCTTCCAAGTACCTGGGCCAGGCCAGTTAAGGAGGGCTCAGCGGCCGCCCGGCCACCTCCGCCCGCCCTTCCCCGCGCGCCGAAGGATACACGGTGTGGTAGAGCGCCTCGGCGTCCAGCAGCCCGGCCAGCAGCCCGGCCCAGGACGGGAAGGGCTCGCGGGGCCCCTCGAGCGCCAGCAGCCGCACCAGGCGCGCGCCGATGGCATCCCGAGCCTCCCGCAGCGCCGGCCTGCCAAGAGAAATGGAGCGGAGGGAGGCGGCGGCCTAGGCCCAGCAGGGAGAGGGAGGTGGGGGGGCGGCGGCGGCGGCGGCAGCCCTTACAGCTTCTCCCGGCGCAGCTCCGCCAGCACCGCCTCTATGGCCGCCCACTGCTTCAGTCGCAGCTGCTCCGGCAGGCGCGCGAAGGCCCGCAGCGGCGTCTCTCCGAAGGATACCCTCCGCGCCGCCTCCGCCTGCCGAGCCACGTTGCCCAGGGCCCGCAGCAGCGGCAGGCAGGTGGCCAGCATGTCCCGCCAGCCCCGATGCTGCTCACGGAGGACGCGCATCCCCGACTGGAGGACGCCGCGCCGCCGCACCTCCTCCTCCGCCGCCATCAGCATCCTCTTCGGCGTAGCCCCGGCCCGCCGATTGGGGAAGGACAGGGCGCGCGTCTCTAGATTGCATTTCCTTCCGCTTCTTCCGGTCGCCTTTTTTTCTCCCTCACTCCCTGCGACTGGCGCGTCCTTTTCTTCCGGGTCAGAGGCTGGCCGGCAGCCGTTTAAGCCCAAGAGACGCCCGACCCACCTATCTAAAGGGGATGGACGCCTTGATGGGAGCGGAGAGCCTCCTGGGCTACTTCCCGTCACAAGCAGCTCTCTCCGCCAAATCTCTCCTCGGGGAGCACCAGTCCCCCTGCCGCCTTCTGCTGAGCTGGATTGACCAACTGCTCCTCTCTATTCTTTTCGGACTGAAAAAGAGTTTTCCTGTTAGATCTGCAGCCCTTTAGGCGTTCCAGAACCTTCAGTGAGGAAGCTGCAGGGCAATGTAAATTTGTAGTTCTTGGGACTCTAAACAGGAACTAACTTTATAAATAAATTGCAGATGTAAATAAAATTAATAGAAGCCTTTATTTCCATTTTAGATGTTATTTTCAGAGCACATGGAATAGTATGCACTTGCCCCCATCAACAATTCTGGGGGATAAAGACATGGCAAAAACCCATCGCCCAGTTAAGACAAATTTATTTTCTCTGCAGTAACTGTTATGCTGTCTGAGAAAATTATTTTCATTCAGCAGTTTAAAGTTTTTCTGTAACAAGCCATTCAAGGTCAATCCCAACTTGAAAATCTTTTTGAATTGTCCACATTCTTATCTTGGCAGAAAATCTGCCATTGACTTTTCCCAAAGCGTTTTTCTGATTTTCCGAACTATTTTATTGCCTTGCTATTTTTGATGGTCTTCCTATCCATGCAATAATTGGGTTCAACCCTACCTAGATCCTGTTGTTATAGAAAAAAATGCCACATAAATTGCATAGTTTTCATTTAATGACATTGGTCCTACTGTTAGTGTAGGGGTCTTCAAACTTGACAGCTTAAGACTTGACAGCTTAAGACTTCAAACTTGACAGCTTCAAACCTGACAGCTTCAAACTTGACAGCTTAAGACAGCTTAAGACTTCCGGAATTCCCCCCCCCCCAGTCATGTTAGCTCAGGAATTCTGGGAGTTGAAGTCCACAAGTCTTAAACTTGCCAAGTTTGAAGACCCTTGTTAGGGTATGAGAAGGGTCAACCCGAGGCCTCACTCATTTATTTAGTCCTATATTCAACCCTCTGCATTCCACACTCCCACATTATACAATGTGTTCCCAACTGAATTATTCCAAATTTCCTTGCAGGATCACATAAGCTTGCTTCTTTAGACAGAGTAGGAAAAAGTAGAAAAAAGTTATTTAGTCTGTGTGACAAACCAGATGACAGAAATATTTCAGGCAACCAGAAATAGCTGCAATTTTAGGTCTTAAAGGAAATTCAGTCATTTAGCCACAGTCCTCAAAGTTACAGCATCCAGGATGTCACCTAAGGACAGTCCCTTTGCAATCATAATGGTCATATAAACAGTTTACTTTCTTGGCTGGGAAAAGACTGGTAGATAGCACTTCAGTGTCCCTAAGGTCCAATATTTCAGCATCCAGACTCCTCAGCCCTTAATCCATACTTGGATGCCAGGATTTCAACAGTTTGAGTAAGTGCACTGGAAAAAAAAAAGAAGATATAACTACAAAATAGAGGCGGGGTATTCCTGCTGTAATATTTTAGAATGCAATGAGAACAATCACAGTCAGTACAATAATGTGGGTTTCCCCAATCCACAAGTCATGTGTAGAAAGGAGAAGCCTGCTTAAGTGCATCTATTTTGAATCATCAACTCTTTTGGACCACAAAAATGGTTCCCCTTCATAAGAAGCAAGTATAACTCACACAAGCTACTTAACCCTAAAATAATGGGTGGTTTACCATCCTGGTCGAATAACCTTGTATTTTCCAGGGATGGAGAGGTCAACCACAGTTGAGCCTAGACGACACTCGGGACTGAGGGCATCCCCAGTTGGACCCCCATCGATGACCAGTGAAAGATGAGGCCAAAGCTCCTGGAATTCCTGAATAAAAGATACATAAGAAATTAGTTCCTAGAACCTGCTTAGTACACTTCGCAGGAAATATTGTAGGGAAAGTGGGTGGGTGGGTTGGGAAACAGAAGCATGGGAAAGGGAGGCAGGATTCTGGTCTAAGCAAAAGATTGAAACTGTGCCTGCCCAATCCAAAAACAGAGAATGTCTGCTAAACATCCCATTTGAGATGTGCAATGGATGGGCACCTTTCCTCCTGGTCTCAGGCAAGTGAAGAAAAACATGGCTCCTTTGGGGCTTGAATGTTGTAGAGCTCCCAGTGCCAAAAATATTGTATTAATTATTGCTGTATACTGTGATTATTGCATTGGCGGCAGCTTGTTTTCATAGCTGTTTTCCCATGCATTAAATCAATCAATGAGCAAGAAGGTACAGAGCAAAGAACCACAAGGATGGCGAGTTCCAGATGACCTCAAGCAAACTTCTCACAAGCAAGCACTCTTCTATAAAAGGGGTGCCCTAATTTAAGGCTTTCCTGAAACAGGCCCAGGAGTAGCTCCAAACATGCTGCGAGGTCAGGGCCAGAGCCGGTCTTACCATAACGGTGATGCTGCTCGCCCTCTCGCTGATGTTGGCGCTGGTTAAAGCCAGAGCACCGCCACAGGCCCTGGCCAGCTCCCGGACGAAGTGATGATCAGGGACACGGACGCCCACCAGCTGGAGGAGGGGAAGAGAGAGGCGCGCTGCTGAAGGGAGGTGCCCAATCGACCTCGGCGGCGGGCGGTGTGTGGGGGCCACCGCCCAGCCCCAAGAGCGCAATCCGCCCGCCGCCGCCGCCGCTCACCGGCGTGAAGGGGTTCAGGTCGGCGTTGAGGGCGTCCGAGCGCGGCAGCACCAGCGTCACGGGACCGGGCAGGAGATCTCGCAGCAGCTCCTCGGGCACCGGGACGCGGCAGTACCTGTGGGCGAAGAGGGCTCAGCGGCTGGCCGGCCTCCTCGGCCCTCCCCGGCCCTCCCGCCGCTCCCGGCCCGCGCACCTGTGCACCTGCTCGACGTCGCCCAGGCAGATGGCCAACGGCTTACCAGCGGGGCGCCCCTTCAGCCGGTACAGGGCCTCGACGGCCGCGGAGTTCTGCACCAAGCAGGCCACGCCGTAGACCGTGTCGGTGGGTACCGCCACCAGCCCGCCCTCGCGTAGAGCCGCCACCGCCGACCGCGCCGCCTGGCCCGTGCCCTCGACCAGGCAAACGCGCCGCTCAGCTCCCGCGCAGGCAGGGAGCAGCCGCCCCCGCGCCATCGGGCCCGCCAGCATGCCCCGCAGCCCGCACCGCCCCAAGGCGACCGGCATCCGCAGCTCTTTCGGCGCCAGGTACGCACTTCCGGCGCTCCGCCCCGCCCCGCCCCGCCACCGAGAGGCATGGCCCGAGCGGCCCCACGCCAGCCTCCCGCGTCCCGGAAGAGGCGATGCCCTAGTAAGGCGCCGTCGAGTTCCTATTTTTCACCGGGCGGGGAACCGCAAGGAGTCCAACTGCCTTGCTTGCTGGGCAACGTCTCCCGTCCTTCGTGCTTCTTCAGAAAGCTACCGTACATCAGTTCCACTCCTCCGTCGCTGCAATGCTGCTGAGGGGTAATCCCAATACTGGGTCATTGAGGAAGCCAGAGAGCGCGCAAAAGGCGGTCGCCGTGCCTGTCCTCGAGGGTAGAAAAGCCCCTCGTTGCGCCGAGTCTGTCGAGCATTCAGAAAGAACGGGAATCCCGGGGCACGTCTTTGCTTGGGTGGGAAACTTCTACGCAGATCAGGGAGCCGCAGTTACAGACCGAACGCTTTGAAAGAGACTGCTGGAGACCATGGAAGCGTCCGCTCACAGAACCGGTGGTTAAACCGCTGCGTCCAGGGGAGCCTCGCCGTCCCTCTCGGGCCATATACGGAGGCCGCCTGGGCAGTGGGGGACAAGCAGCCAGCCCGGCCCTTGGCTCCCGGGGCACTGGGACACCACAGCCCAGCCCCGTTTCCCTGAGGGGGCGCCCGGCTGCGCTTCCCCACTCCTCAAGGCTGCTGTCGCTATGCTCGCTCTCCTTGGGCAGGTTCATCATGGTGTGCGTGGAAGGGCAAAGTGTGGGTCCGTTTCCATGTAAGGAGACCCGGCTTTGTAAGCAAAGCATCCTGAGCAGTAAGATGGGAGACCACTAGGAGAGGTCAGGAAGAGCAGACAAGGGGATGGCGAAAGGGCAGCAGGGCTGCTGGTGGCCAAATGCTAAGGCAGGACTTTCCTCAGAATCTGACTCCCTCATTATGATCTTCCTTCTTTTTCCCCTTTTCTCTTTGCTTTCCTTTTCATTTTCCTTTCTTCCCCTCTTTCCTTGTTTTCCCTTCACTGCTTTCCCCCTTTTTCTTTTTTCTTTCCTGCCCCTTTTTGGATGCTCAAATGCAAAAGGAGACACATTTCTCAATGCCTCCTTGCCTTGTGATCAAATGTCACTTTTGCTAGTAATTTGTGGCCAAAGACTGAGAACAAACCAGGCTCTGTTTATCCCATGCTTGCATTTAGTGGGAGAGTCCACAAGACAACAGCAAGCTGTCAAAACGGTGGCTGTGACAGTTGATCATAGTCCTCCATTTTTTATGTGCAACAGTTTTAGTGTTTAGGAACAGAGGTAAGTTAGTTACTTTTCTATTAATACTTCATCCTTAAAAGGGCTCTCCAGTAGAGAGCCTGCCGTGGTCTAATTGAGACTGAAAATATAGCAAAGTTTTGTCCTGTTTTCCCCATTGGAAATGGCTGTTTGTAACACACATGGAGGGGATATGTTCCTTAGAGCTCACAGTTCAAGAATACCAATGTTAACTTGGATTGGCAACAAAGTTCTGTCTGCGACAAAACAGAGCACAAAATTGCTTTCTCCTTTGAAATGGGGCATCTCCAACCAAGTTTCCTCTCTTCTTTTTTGTAAACTGCCAGAGGGTCCCAGCAGAGGTTTCCCATTTTGACCGCTCCCCCATTGTTGCCTCATCTTGGTTTTCAGCACACTTCTCCCAGACTTGTATGTGTTTGTTTGTGTCTCCCTTGCAGCCCAGTGCTGTGACGTTGGAGAGGAAGATTGGGAGAGAGAAGCTGGGATGGGAGCTTCTTGCAGCCTTCCACGGAGCTGGGGATTGAGAAAAAGAAACAAGCATGGCAAAAAAAAATAGCTGTCATTAACTTGCAGCCTCCTATCGGCAGGTCTCTGTTGAGGGCGTGGGGCTGCAAGGAGACACCTTCCCCCGCCCCTGTACGCACACACACACACAAACCCGTGACAGAAGGCTGCCAAATGCCAGCCAAGGAAAGCTGCTTGTTTCTCTCAGCCTCAGTCCCCTGCAAGAGGTGCCCATCCCAGCTTCTCTCCAGATCTTTTCTTCCCCAATGTCACCTCCCCCCCCCCCACAGCAATGCCAGAAGCCGCCATCCGCCTTCTACGTCCCTTCAGAGCTTGTGCAATCTCGTACCACCCACCGCGCGCTGGCAGGCAGAAGCCCCAGGGGTCTCATGCCCCCCCCCCCTTCTCATCTTCCATGCTCATGTAGGGACGAGGGGAGGGGGAGAGATTGGCAGCATGGCTCTCCCACGTGGGGGTGGGGTGGCCCCAGTTAAAGACCAGTTGAGGGGGCATGGAGACGCTGGTGTGGGCACGTGATCAGCAACCTGGACTGCAGCCAGCCTTAGATCCGCAGGGCTGACTTGGCCCTGCCCCCTGGGCATGGGAAGAGGAGGCTCCAAGCGTGAGGGCTGGCGTCCTGGGTGAAGGAAGCACTGAGCAGTCCCCAGGGATACCAGGCCCCGCACGCTCACCGCCTCTGTGCATGCCCAGGGGTGGAGCTGAGGTGCTATCACGGATCTAAGCCTGGCCTGGATGGCCGCCCAGTAGCAGATCAACACTCAGTTGGCCTGGGCCGGGCCAAGGTGTCCGGGCTGGTCCTTTGATGTTTCCAGGGCAGACCCACGGGCCGGATCTAACCACCTCACAGGGCGGATTTGGCCTTGAATTGGATACCTCTGTTCTATATAGAATTCCTATGTTCATCTGTAGGTCAAAGTACAGTGTTCTATTTGGGAGGAAAGGTGGCAACCACAGGAAGATTGGGAGAGAGAAGCTGGGATGGGAGCTTCATGCAGCCTTGCAAGAAGCTTGAGTGCAAATGCTGGATTTCTATTTTATCTCCTTTAAGCTTTAAGGAAGATAGACTCAAAATTCAGAAGGATTTTGACAAACTTGAGCTTTGGGCCCTAGACAACAAGATGCAGCTCAGTGGCCAATGGCTTACTTAAACTCAAAGTTCTGCACGTAGGCAGGAAAAACCAAATGCACAGGTGTAGAATAGGTGGTATCAGGCTCAACAGTAATAACTGAAGGGGATATAGACTATCACTTATGAGCCAGCAAAAAAGCCAATGCAGCCACCAAAAAAGCCAATGCAGTCCTAGGGTGTATCAGCAGAGGGATAGTATAAAGCTAGTGAGGCTTCACTAGTGAAGCCACACTTGGAATACCAAGGCCAACTCTGGTAACCACCATACAAAAAAGATGCTGAGGCCCTAGAAAGTGCAGTGAAGTGTGCAGTGAAGATGATCAGGGGCCTTGAGGCTTGCCTTTTGGGGTTGTGGATGCTCCATTGCTAGGTTTTCAAGAAAATATTGACGGGTGGTATAGGATCTCCTGCCTTGAGCAGGGGGTTGGACTAGAAGACCTCCAAGATCCCTTGCAGCTCTTATGATTCTATTAAGCTGCTGCTTTTTATGTTCTGGTCCAGAGGGGATACTTAAGCAGTTTAAACTAGCTCCCACAATGGCACCCTGGAGGGAACAGGTAACGAATCAGGATATCCTGCTGCTCCCTGTTCAAGCAGAGGCAAAAGGCGTTCCAACTTTAGCTGTTTCTTAGTCCAACTCCCTTAGTCCATGTCAATGCTCTGCTCCCCCACTTGTTGACTGGAGGCCCACAGAATGGCTCAGCACACTTTCTGCCATCTAAGTGAATGGCACGGGAACTGGCATGTACCTTCTCCCCCAATGCTTCATTTATTGAAGAAAGAAACCTATAGGCACCACATTTAAATAAGCATTTAATATTTAATTGCTACTAATATTGCCTTCAATTAAAAATTATTTTGTAATTCCTTGCAGATATTTCAAAGTACAATAGTAATTTTATACAAACGGGAGCAGGTAGCAAACCCTATTTCACATTTTACATTCTTCAAAAATACAACTTTGTTTATTCTTCTGGTGTTTGGAAAGCTCTTCCTTTGGAAGTACTGTACCTATAGTGAGCATCTTCACATCACTCAATGGACAGACATTTGATCCCAGGTTTCAAAGTTAAACTAAATGTGCTTAAACATAATATAGGTACTCCTGAGAGAAACAGGTTACTTCAAATTCTCCCCACCTCTGAGGTTGTGGAGTTTAGCCATGGCAATACGGAGGCAGGGTTCCCACAACATGCATAACCTGATATTTCACCCAATTCACAGACCACCTCGAATCATGAATTAACACAATAGGCTGATCAATTACAAAACTTAAGACTAACCAAACTGTAGCAGTTGTGCATTGCAATGGTTAAGCCTTTCATAAACTGGCTAAACCTTTCATGAAACCCAGCCAGAGTCTGATCATGAAGATTTAGATCACAGTCCAAAAGTGAAGGGGACCCAGGAAGGCACTTTCAAAAATGATCTCTGAGAACCTTTGGAATCTCCAGGCTCCTTACTTTAGGAAGCAATCAATTGTTCTTTGTGGAAAAGTGCCTTCTGAAAAAAAAGGAAGGAAACCACTTCTCTTCAACTGAAGCGTTTTCTCTCCCTCCATCTTGCACAAGTTGATGTTTTTCTGCCCAACAGGAAAAGATGCATTTGAAACTTTCATGGTCGGAACAATGGGAAATATCTATTTCCTGGTATGCCTTAATCCTAAATTGGACTAGTCCAAAAGCGGAAGAGAAGCTTACGCTGTTTTCTGATATTCAGTAGAGTCCCACATCTAGCTCCACCCCTAAATTCTGACTGTGGCTAGATAGAATGGTGCTTTGTTTTTTGCCCATAAAATCTAAGCCAGTATTTAATATTTGTAGAAATAACACTGCAAAACAAAAGAAAAAAAAACTTCAAATAACATTTCAAAATAAGAACATCAACAATAATCATTCTTCCCTGGACTTTACTGATGAAGACTCTATGTGGGGAAGAAAAGGTAAAACACTCAAGTGATAAGGAAAATATAATGCATTTACTTGAAAGTGTCCACTGCATAGAAACTGGGTTTGGCCAGCGTGCACACTATTGAAAACACAGTGTGGATAACATACCATTTCCA